AGCAGAATGAATGAACACTACTGCAATGGTTGGTAGGGAAGTTCCAGCAGTCCTAACTCCAGTTGGCAACTCTGCAAATAAAAAACACATATTAATTATCATACAAAAAAATACATAATAATAAGTATCATAAAATAAATACATAATAATGAAAGTATTTAAGTAAACTACTATTACCATTCTCAAGCCTTTCACAATCATCAATATTTTCTTCAATTTGAATAGGTTGATTTGGTAATCTCAACCAATCTTGTGTACAAATTAAAGCTTCCACAATCTTAGGAGTTAAGGAACTCCTAAATGGATCCAACACTCTACCACTGGTTGAAAAAGCACTTTCAGAAGCCACAGTGGATATTGGAACTGCAAGAATATCCCTTGCCATTTTAGAGAGAATTGGCAGTCTTTCAGAGTTCACCTTCCACCATTTTAGAATATCAAAATCAACCTTATCTTCCACAATGGCCTCACTCAAATATATTTGCAGGTCAGTCTGTTTAAGGCTTCCACCACTCTCCATCCTTTGCTTTTTCAATTGAGATTTCAACTTACCTTGTGGCCTACCAACAGTTACAGCACTAGGCTGCACACTCACAGAGACAGTTTGAGAAGGTTGGGCAACAGCAGCTGGTTCAGTGTTCACATCCACAGAGTAAGTGGCAACATAATCATTGTACAGCTCAAGAAGTGCAAATTGGACCTTCTCAAAATAGGCTTTGCCTTTCTCATCACCATAAAGTTGAGTTAACTGGGCAGGCATGTACTCAACCTTATCTCTAGGATCCAAAATAGTGCCAAAGAAGATCACACAGCTCATTTTTTCAGGGTCCCCCCAATATTTCAGAAACTTAGTGTTCATTTGGGTGCCCATTACTTGTAAAAAAGCAAATAATTAACATTAGTTAATATACATATTTGTTAAACAGTAAACATTTCACTTAAGGAATGGAATTTACCTTTTCAGATCCAGATTCACCACCAGTCATGTCATCTAACATGCAACTAAGATCAGAGATCTCACTGAAGAAAGTGTTAGATGTAACATAAAGAGAACCAGAAATTCTCACAATCATGTCATAGAAAGTTTTTAGCAGAGTTACAAAACTGTTCACATCAAACCAATCCATAAAAGTAGGCACAGAGGTACTAAGGTCATCAGAAAATGAGGGATCATTTCCCAAATAGGCATCAAAGACTGCCTGGTACTGGATTGCAGTGTTCAACATCATATATGTGCTATTCCATCTTGTAGGAACATCCAACTGCAAAGCTGATTTGGCTTCCACCCCAATAAGTTCAGCAAGATCTCTAAATTTTTTTAGCCTTGCAGGGGAGTTCCTAACCCATCTAACTGCTTCCCTAACCCTCTTAACTGAAGTATCAGAAAGCTTCAACCCATCTTGCACCACCAGATTCAGAATGTGGGCTATACACCTCATGTGCATGTACTTAGACCTTACAGAAGTGGTACCCCAAGACACCAATTTACTCTTAAAAAATCCCATGGCAGTATCATTGGAAGAGGCATTGTCAACTGTGACAGTAAAAACATTCTTAATACCCCACTTAACCAGACAAGTTTCCAAGGCCTTGGCTATATACTTTCCCCTATGAGATGAAACAGGGACAAAGACTATGATTTTTTTGTTGAGCTTCCACTGATCATCAATGCAATGTGCAGTAATGCACATGTAGTTTATCCTCTGTACAGAGGTCCATGTGTCAGTGGTTAAGCTGACTCTTTGGGAGCAACCCTTAAAAATTTGTTTAAGGACTGATCTCTCATCTAGGTATCTTTGGAATATATCCCTTGAAACTGTCCACCTAGAAGGGATTTGGAACCTTGGGTAGGCAACTAGAATAAATCTCCTAAACCCTATCCCATCAACAAACCTAAAGGGCAACTCATCTACTATAATCATCTCACACAAAGCCCTCCTAATGGCTTCCTGATTAAACACCCATGTGCCTAATTCCCCCATTACCCCTTCAGAACCCCCTGGTGCAGAGGATGAGATAGCATTGAAAGTCAGAAGTGACTGCCTTGTATCCTTCGAGTGAGGATTTTTAAGACAGGCCACCATATGATATCTTAAAGATGAAGTGCCATGTTTTTTTGGCTGACAACAAAAGATCTTAGAACAATATATGCACCTCCCCTCAATCAGATTGTCCTTTTTATCATGTATCTTTACAAAGTGCTCCCACACCCTGGATCTGGACTCAACCTCTTTTCTCTTTTTCTTTGGAACAACAGGAGTCACCTGAGGCTGCTGAGGTATCCCAGTGCCTTGGGGTTGTCCTTGTCCCTCCTGAGTTGAAGGTTGTGTTCCAGAACTAGGTTGACTGATGCTCTCCATCTAAAAAGATGGGCATCAAGTCATCAACATTCAGATTTCAAACAATTGTTTGTCATACAGAATAACAGATCAAGCATTCAAGCATACAAACAATTGAAAGAAATCCAGATTCAGACACTTCTTTGTGTTATCATCTATCAAGATTTCATAATATTACATTTACATATTTACATTATGCACAAACAGTTAAGAACATTTAAGGGTCATACATCCATAAACGTATTCACAAAGAAATCCAGATTCAGAAATTTTATCCAGTTCATCATTATCAGGATTTCAGTTAAGGGCTTCCACCATTTCACATTTAAGCCTTTAACTGTTTAAGGGACATCACAATTCAGATTCAACCATAATATATCATAATACAACACATAAATCACAAATATAGAACTAGGGTTTGGGTTTAAAACAGCTTCCACCAAAATACATCAGAATATAACACATAAATCACAAATATAGAACTAGGGTTTGGGTTTAAAACAGCTTCCACCAAAATACATCAGAATATAACACATAAATCACAAATATAGAACTAGGGTTTGGGTTTAAAACAGCTTTCACCAAAATAGATCACACTATAACACATATATCATCATATAACACAAATAGATCAAAATACAGTGAATAATCATAAATATAAAAACTAGGGTTAGCGATTTACTTGTTTTCCCCAAATACTCCCCGGAGAACAAGGGTCTCTAACCAGTAATCACCAGAGAGAAAGGTTTCCACCACTCTAAGCCTCCAACGGCCACCGGAGAATCAGACACAGCCGGACAGTGCACAGGTCTCAACGACTCAACGAGTAAGTGAGTCACTGAGATTAGAGAAGAAGAGAGGACTCTGAGAGACTGAGATTCTGAGAGTATGAGAGATTGAGAGTATGAGCCACAGTCTCACACTCTCACAGAGTCACAGAGAGAATCGGAGATTCGGAGTAGAGAGAAGTCAGAAAGAATGAGAGATTGAGAGAATTAGGGTGAAGGGTCTCAGAGAGTGGAGTGTAGAGGGTTGCGCAAAAGCTAAGGCTTACATATATAATAGCCTTATACGACGTCGTACCATACTAAACCCTTAGCAAACCCTAGGAAAGATCGGATAGTTCGGGCGGGTCGAATGCGTTTTTTGCCTACCCTATCCGAACCACGTAATCCGGCGTCGTTTCACTTGGCGGATCGAATTTGTGATGTCGGATTCGGCTCTAGTTCGGATGGGTTGCAAAGGGGCTGGGGTCGGGCGGTTTTTTCGGGTAGGGTCGGTTTTGCACAGCCCTACTTAATTACCATTCAATTATAGCTAGGTGGAATAATTAGCTGCATGAAAATCATTAAATGCTAAAAATAAAATTGTATTAATTAATCATATAAATGAATAATTTAACAGACATCAATCAAACAAGAGGGAGAGAGAGCATTTAATACCCCCAAATTTTGACAATTCATACCATCATACTTGACTATCCTACCAACTAGCCTTTTGGATAATGTAACTCTATTCCCCCTGATATTATTTCGACTTTTGCTTAATATTTCCATTTTTTTTTACATGGTAAAAACTAAAAAGTAACACCATTAACAAATATCAATAATTTATTAATGAATTCATCATCCATAAAATTTTGGATCAAATCTGGAGGGGGGAATCATCATCCATAAATTTACCTAACAAAGCATCAAACATATAAAGTTTTAGAATAAGGGTGAAATTTACCAGTAATTTAATCAATTTCTTTTAAAATATAATGCGCGACTATTCTGTCATTAATATAGTTAAATATGTAGATATTTATAGCGATAGTCATTTCATTGGATTATGGATATTTATAAGGATCACTATTCGAGGATGTACGTTGAGTAATTATACTTCGCCTTGTGATCCTAGTAAACAAAAGATCACAATGAGGTAAACCGGTCAATAGATTACTCTCATTGGGATATATATGACCACGATTTTGTTCCGGTTTCAAACCGCCAGTTCACAGTTTCAAGAGACGATAAACCAGAATCGGTGATTCCGATTTGAACGGTCGGTTCAAACTTTTTTCTTTGTGTAAATTCTATTTTTAATATTTAAAATAGTCCAAATTAAGAATTAATTTTTTTTTTTAATATTTCTTTTTCCGGTCCGAAACCAGAACATTTTGGGTACCGATTTTGAACAACCTTCCCTATAATTCTAGTTTTGATTCGGTTTCAATGTCTAGTACAGTTCGAATCGAACCGTAATTATTCTTGACTAGAGGTCGAATTTAAAAATTTATAACTACCAACTAACAGTTTGACCAATTTAATTGTGGTTACCCGTAGGATCCATTGATGAGGTGGGAAGGTGCTGCGTTGATGCACACTTGGTGAGGACTGAGTCAAGTGGATCGGATATAGAGCAAGTTGCAGAGCCTCCCTTTGTTGAAGGAGCCGTTGCTTTTGAATGGCAAGTGCCACGTTCCAAGACCACCACACTATACATACATTACACCTCATATATACATATACATATACTCTCAATATACTAATTCATCATGTACTTCCACTTTAATGGTCAACACATCATTTAGTGCTATGTCAATTTCATAAGATAAAATATTTACAAAAATATGTTCACCAACTCCCTCCCACCACCCCTTATACTCTATATATACCCCAATTCAAACCCATTAAAGGCAGGGTAGTCGAGTTTCTCATTATCCATTACCCTATAATAAATTTACAATTTACAAATCGTTCACACTTTCCTTAAAATCGATCAGCCATCAGAGATTATTTGGGTTCGTTGGGTATAATGGCTTTGACTAATGATCATATTCACGGTGACATTTTGGAAGTGGTGCTTTCGTACGTGCCGCTTGTGGATTTGGTGCCGGCGTCGGCTGTGTCAAAGTCATGGAACTCCGCCGTGACGGCGTCTCTCCGGTGGCTCAACAAGCCGAAGCCGTGGTTGTTGGTTCACACGCAGAGCACGCGGTGGCCATACGAGATGGCGACACGCGCCTACGACCATCGCTCTTGCGCGTGGGTGGAGGTGTCGAACCCGGCCGCCAAGTACGTGTCGGCCCTCCGTTCCTCGCACTCCAACCTGCTTTACATGTTGTCCCCGACGACGTTTTCGTTTTCCTTCGACGCGCTCAACGTCGCGTGGCGCCACGTCGAGGCGCCGAAGGTGTGGCGGACGGACCCCATCGTGGCGCACGTGGGCGGCTACATCGTCGTCGCCGGCGGCACGTGCGACTTCGAGGACGACCCCCTCGCGGTGGAGATTTACAACGTGGGGGCTGGCACGTGGGAGGCGTGCGAGTCCATGCCGGCGATTCTTAAAGATTCGTCGGCGTCCACGTGGCTCTCGATCGCCACCGCCGCCGATAAGCTCATCGTCACCGAAAAACTCACCGGCGCTACCCACTGCTTCGACCCGGAGACGAAGAACTGGTCCGGACCCTACGATTTACGCCCCGATCAAAGGGTCTCTCTCTCCATCATCGGATCCTCCGAAAACCGGCTAATTCTAGTCGGAGCAATCGGGGACATCGGGAACATCGAAGGGATAAAAATATGGGAAGTCAACACCGACAACTTTGAGTGCCAGGAGATCGGCGAGATGCCGGCGGGTTTTGTCAAGAAACTGAAGAGCGAGACGTTTGGAATATCTTCCATTAGCCTCTGCATGTCGGGAGATTACGCCCACATATACAACGCGTCGGAGGCGGAGGAGGTGGTGGTGTGTGAGCTGGACGCCGCCGCTGGAGGCTGCGAGTGGCGGAGCTTCAAGAATGTGGTGGCCGGAGACGGAAATAACAGAATGGAGAGGGTGGTGTTAACGTCGTCGGAAGTTTCTCTGGGCGAATTGCGGCGAGCTATGGGATCGGAGAAAGCTAGGTTTACGGTTAAGATGTAAGGTGCGAAGTGCTCTGTGGTTTGATGATTCCGGTCTAATCCCAAATGAGGATTGTATGTTGTGTTGTTTGGTTGAGGGAATATCGTATCCGCAATCTCATGTTTGGTTCTAAAATTAAACTATAGTGCCCCATTTGCTCTATGCTAAAATCCTAAAAAATATCATCCATGCTTCTACCAATCTCATGGTTTGGTTTGAAAATTAAACCATAGAGCCCATTTGCTCTATGCCAAAATGGCAAATACCATCATCGCTGTTTTCGGAATGAGCGATTATTCCATCTTTTCATCACAAGTTAATATGTACTTATATTATAATTTTATCAAAAAATTATGATTACACGTAAAGTATTGATGTTATTTAAGTTGAAAAAAAATTAGCCATTGTTTTAGATGGGGCCCAAGAAAGTGACAGGGTGGTAGGTGAAGAGAAACTGGAGCCAAAGGAAAAAAGTTGGGGGAAGTGTGACTGTGCAGGCTACTTAAGAAGTTGAAATTACTTGTTTGATCTTCTTTGTTTGTTTTTCTACCTTTTAAAGATTTTTATTAGTTGGGTTGATTTTGTCACTCCATTTTCATCCATTATTCAATCGTAAGTATTTCTTTTTTTTTTTTTTTTTTTAATATTGGACAATTCAAATCTTATTTTGTTGGTAACATATCACACGGTTGTGAGTGCTGAAATGGGGTACAGTTTAATTTGCACCAATATATCCACCAACTTAAATACATGGTGGGCCACTGAGGTTTTAATTTTCAACAAATTAATTACGAAAATGAAATAATTGGTTTATATTTGATGGAATTAAATATTACTTTTTTGCTCAATATAAATATCACATTAGAGGATTTTTTTTTTCTTTTTTAAAAGCAAAAATCGATATCTTATTGATAAATGGGTCTGGAAATTTCTTCTTCTTTTTCTTTTTCTTGGTATCTTATTGTTATTTATATCTCACAAAATACAAGCATAGGACTAATTTCAACAATTATTAAGGTTTGCAATGTTTATCCTTAACACTTTTGTCTATAGTCCTTAACAACTGTCACATGGTTATGTTAGATATAATGACAATGAAATATTTAATACCAATCAAATGAAACTTGTTCTAAAGAGCTAAGTGATTATGTCCACAAACAATTAGATATGCAATGTCTCTTTCTATATATATGTGTGTAGTAGGTCACAATTATACATGAGCCTAGTTTGCTCATTAATGTTCTTACTAATATAATTTTCTGTGTCTAACCCCTCTTTTAGTGGGCATTTAATTTGTTACTTGTGAATTTAAAAGGTGGAAAATAATTCTCACATTTGGTGTAGTTTTTGACTTAGAAAAATTTAGGTCAATAGGAATCACATTCCAAATTTTAAATGGCTTATTGAACCAACTTTATTCAATTACATATTTATCATTTTTGGTTCCACACTGACATGTTAAAAATCTATTACAAATATAAGGAATTGGACACTCTCACCATTACACATTCTTTATCAAAATATCCAGGTACGTAGTTAAAATTTTTCAATTCATAAGTAATCTGATTTGTCATTTGATCTACTGCATATATTATCTTTGTGTATATATATAGCGGCTAACTAAAAAAAAAGAGAAATAGTGCACGTGTATAGATGCATATATGTCATATTATACATACATACATACATGCATACATACATACATACATATATATATATATATATATATATATATATATATATATATATATACATATATATATATATATATATATATATATATATATATATATAGATCATATAAATGAAAAAAATTAGCAAGGTCGAGTCGGCTGGGTTAACTCGGCTAACTCGACAGAAATTGACGAGTTAACTCGGTGTAATCGGCCGAGTTAGGCGCTAGGCGGGTGCCTAGGCGGCCGGTTTCCTAGGCGGGCGCCTAGGGGGAAAATCGCCACGGCCAAGGGGCGCCTAGCGCCTAGGCGCCGATTACTCGGTGCCTAGGCGGGATTTTTACAACCCTGATATATATATATATATATATATATATATATATATATATATATATATATATAAAAGAAAGTTTAAATGCGGCGGGGTCTTCCCGTGCGGCGGTGCGACGGAATTTCAGAATACACCAACAGTGTTAACAATATGCACCAACAGTGTAAAGAAAACACACCACAATGAAATGCAATAAAATATCAAAAAAAACACAACACATCCAAAAAAATACACCATATAACTCACCACCCCCAATGGAGTATTTTCGAATAGTGTAGGGTGTTTTTACTCACACCTAATGGTGTGTGTTTGGTGATGCGTACCTAATTTTCCTCTGTTTTTTATGGTGTATTTTCCTAACGTTGATGGTGTATATTTGTTGAACTATTGGTGATGCCGCACCGCCGCACCGCCGCACCGTAAGACACCGCCGCACCTGAACTCGGCTATATATATATATATATATATATATATATATGCACTATTGCAATTTTTGTATAGTGTCGTACTGCATATATTATGTAGTGATGTACGTGTATATATATGCAGTGTATAGTATAGAAAGTTCAAATCTTTTCTTTGTATGCATGTTCACAAAGATGCTTCTAGACTAAGAAACAAACCTTTCCCTTTGTATGATGAATTAGTATATAACAAGAATATATGAGACATTTTAAAAAGTTTTATGGATAAGTTTAAACGAACCAAACATGTTAATTAAATTTTCAGTTTATTTAATTGTTATGTTTTCAAACATGTTAATTATTTTTTCTTGAGAAAAATTATTTTTGAAAAATATTTTTTCATGAATTTAATTGATTAGAAAGTACCAAACAACCTCTTAATATACTATTACTTTTATGTATACAAAGAATGTTTGATTTACCTACTGAGGCTCTATCTTCTTCCTTACCAAATCTCTATTTTAATTATTACTCTCTTCGTCTCAAAAATATTATTAAAGTTTGGGTTGCACACTATTTAAGCATTTTCAAAAATATTGTTGCATACATATAGATTCGAACATCTTCCACTTGAGTCAACACTTTTTTTTTAGTAAAAAGAACAATTTTTAATATATAATAAGGACAAGTGTTCAAAAATAAAGAGGATATTACAAACAACTATGTAAAGACAGAGAATACCATCATTGAAAAGAGGTTGAAGTAATAACAAAAATGGTATGAATTATTATAAGACTCAACTAACTCCTATGAATGAGTTTTCAAATAAATAAAACTCCTATGAATGAATTAATGCATCTAACTCACTCAATTAGTGAGATAGAGGAAATACATGATAAAGACATGTAGAGATACACCCCCTATTAGGGGAGAATTGTTTTGGGTAGTTGGGTATGTCTAAGTACTATTACAAGTTTTATCACAAGTATGTGCATGATATGGATGGTTGTATTCTAAAGAACGAGATAAATGACTTGAATTGATTGGCTAGGGATAATCTATGAAACTTTGTTATGGAAGATGATGGCCGGGAACAATTAGTTGAGGAATTGAATGTCTAGAAGAAAACGAAAGGGTTAGATCGAGGAAAGATAGAAGAATTAAGGAAGAAAAAGAATGACAAATGAGAAAAACGCTAGGAGGGAATTAATGATGTAGGACAAGAAAAACCGTGTCAAGTGATAAGTAAAGAAAAGCTCTCAAGAATCAAATTAACTCAGAGAAACTTTTATATTTTATTCAAAAATTAAACTTTCTGGGTACAAGTTTGTTTAACTATGAAACTAGTAAAACTGAAGAGTTGCAAATGTTAAGAGCATGCATAGGAATTATAGAATAATCATAATGAGAATTGGAAATATTAATAACATTTAATAAAAGAGCCACCAAAAACTCCATGTCTCTTAGACTTGCTTCCCGCCTGCAAGTGACCATTTTTCTTTTATTGCCTCAACTAATGTACCACATCATTCTCTCTTAGTTGCAAAAGACTAGCCCTGGAGTCATCATACAATGTCAGTTGACCGGAGTAATTAATATATGAAAGTATAACCATGTTGAGTGGCTTCAATTTTATTTTTTTTTTTGTTTTTTTGTTTTTTTTTTTTTACGAACCTTAAAATAAATATATCACTTAAGGCTCAATTTGTGAAATGTCTCCCTGTGCACATGATCTTTATGCATAAAGACCATAATCTTCTCACCAACTCCAAAAATTTGGTTGCATTGCGTTTTGTTACCTTGGTCATTACTGGTAATATATTTTGCTTGTTTATTTTTAGGAATTTGTAACATGCTATCAACTCTTGAACATCAATCTAAGAAGGTCTGATCTCTGAATCAAAATAGCCATTAAAGCTAAGGTTGGTAAATAAGGCTTTCGATGGTACTGGCTTTGCATGGGAAAAGTTTGATGTTGGGTTTCAATCTCAAAATCATCACTACTGTTATTTTGAATCGATGCTAACATATATTGTCGAAGAGGAAATCGAATTGCATCATTTACAAGTGGGTTTCGTCCCTAGCTAGCCACTTGAGGAGCTCTATTTTCATTTATATGAAGACTGGTATTGTTAGGATCAGGTATGGAGCCAGAAAATTAATTGAGTAGGGGTGAAATTTAAATGACGATAGAAATATCAATTACAAAATATCAAATTGGGCATAATAATGTTAAAATACAAAATACTTTATAAATTACAATAGAATATTTTTTATATAGATTACACAATAGTTAGAGTCGGAGCTAAAAATATACTTGTGTGGGGTGAAAATGTGAAAAGATTTATGACAAAATATGAAACAAAATCAATTAGATAAAAAAATTTGAATAACACTATATTCGATCATAAATACTTTTAATTTTTATTTTTTTTTTAGTTAGATCAACTTTAAGTTTTTCTAAATTAATTTGAATACAATGAAGTAGACTAATGAAGTAGATCAACTAATAAATTAATTCGAATAAATTTATATGAAGTATAATATAAACTTGTGTACTACATTAATTAAATGATTCATAAAAGTAGACTAAAAAAATATTTAATTTAACTTGGAAAGGAATAATGAAAGAGATAAAATAATCAAGTGTTGTTAATGAGTTTTGAACCCATGACCATATACTTTTTATTAAAATTAAATTTAGAGTTCAACTAACTAAACTACTCAAACAATTAATACTTTAAACATAAATATAAATTTTATATAATATTTAATGCTATATATATATATATATATATATATATATATATATATATATGTATATATATATATATGTATATATATGTATATATACATATATATATATATATATACATATATATATATATATATATATATATATATATATACATATATATATATAAAGGGGTGGGGTGGGGAGAGTGGGGGGCTAGCTCCGTCCATGGTTAGGATGTCCGTAGTATATTAAAACTAAACAGAATAAATTGTATTTAAATACGTTTGTTCGTGAACAATATTAAATCAATACTAAACAAGCATGTCCGTGAACGTTATCAAACGAACACTAAACGAGGTTGTTTATTAACATTATTAAACGAACACTAACAAGCTTATTTATGAGCTCATAGCAAAAGAGCCTACAAATGTTCAGACTCTGTTCGTTTATTAAACGACCTCTAAAATTTGATCATTTATGTTCGTTTACCTTAATAAACACGAGTAGTTTACCGTAAGCCCGGTTCGCAATCCCTCTTAACATGGATCAAGGAGGATGCTTAATGCAATAAAAATATTTGGAAAGAATAGTATTACTCAAAATTAAAAATGTATCAATATATATCAAACTTTCATTTTAAATTTGGAAAAATTTTGGGTCAAAGTACCTATGAGATCCCTGTACTATAGCGTTTTGTTCAATTTAGTCCTTATACCTTAATTTTGTTCAATTTAGTCCATGTACTATAAAAAGTGAAACAATTAAGGACAATAATTGATATTTATGTATTTATTTTGGACATATTATGTAATATATTGGTGGTAAAAATAAGTAATTTTAAATATTAATAAAATAATATAGGAGTTGACATGTAAGTATGATGACGTGACAGATAAGATGTTAACGCCACATCAGCTATTGTCCTTAATTATTTCACTTTTTAAACTACGGGGACTAAATTAAACAAAATTAAGGTAGAAGGACTAAATTGAACAAAAGACTATAGTGCAGGGTCCTCATAGGTACTTTGACCGAAAATTTTGATATGATTTTTAGGCTGTGTTTGGAAACCCGGAAAATGATTTCTGGAAATCATTTTCCGGGTTTTTGGTGTTTGGCTACACTTGGAAAATCCAGTCAACGGAAAACATTTTCCGTTGACTAGGGAAAATGAGCTCAATTTGGCGGAAAATGACTTCCGCCAAATTTGGGCGGAAGTCATTTTCCGCAGTTCCGCCGGAAACCATAGCCATGGTTTCTGGCGGAACTGGTTTCAGCCAGAAACCATAGGCATGGTTTCCGGCGGAACCCAGGTTGTTTTTTTTTTTTTTTTTTTTTTTTTTAAAGATTTAAAATGTATTTTTTATTCAGAATAAAATATTTAATTATACCATTCTACTCATTTTCCAGAAAATGAACCAAACACACCAAAACAGTTTTCCATATGCAACCAAATACTTGAAAAGGAAAATGTTTTCTGAAAAATGACTCATTTTCCAGCTTTCCAAATGGACCCTTAGTGGAATTGGTCTTACTCCGTGGAGTTAACAAACAAACGAAAGAAAGAAAGTAAAGGGTACATATAAATAAATAGTCCAATAAAAACCAAACCGGATCCGTGGCGCAATGGTAGCGCGTCTGACTCCAGATCAGAAGGTTGCGTGTTCGATTCACGTCGGGTTCAAAACCCAAATCAAAATCTGGTTAGATTTTTATCCCTTTTTAAAATACTCCGTAATATAATGTTTTCCTGCCTAAGCTTTCTTAGCTAAAAATAGCAATTGAAATCAAAATAAATAAATAATTTATTAATTAATTAATTAAAATAAATGGATATATAAAAATACACACAATCTATATCTATATTCTATATTTATTTATTTATTTATTATATATAAAAAACAAAAGAGTCTTATAGTATTAAGATTTGCGTAGTATTGTAAAATAGTGTAATACAATTCATCTACAATTTTACATTAAAATTCATATTCTAATATTATAAAATAGTGTAATAGAATATATTGTTTCATACTCTCATATTCGTACTACAATTCTACTTTAAAACTAGTATTTTCACCCGTACGTTGCACGAAATGAATTTATTATAATATTTTAATAATATTTGGATCGATATATAATTATATAAATTATAACAACGAATATTATATAGTGCAATTAATGAAATGAGTTGGATGGATTATGTTTTCTGATGTTATCCTTGCTTGATTTCGATTTATGCAATTTATACAATTATAATTTATAAACTTGTTTTCAAAAAAAAAAAAAAAAAACAAAAAAATTATAAACTTAGTTAGACAAATATGTCTAACATTTCTCATCTGGACGACTTAAACAATGCAAATGTCCAATGATTTGTTTCAACATTTTCATTAATATATTATTAATACTACTGAACATCATGAACTGTTCAATGGTTACTGTATTGAACACCATGAGTTGTTCTTATAAATGCATAACATTAACTCCACAAATTCATGACATTAACTCCACAAATTAAGCTAAGCAAATATCTAAAATGATACACTTCAAACGCAATTATTATATTGTATATATATATATATATATATATATATATATATATATATATATATATATATATATATATATATATATATATATATATATATATATATATATATATATATATATATATATATATATTGGTTTCACTTTTACACTTCCAAAAATGTAAAATTAGAATAAAAGTGGCAGTAGCCTAGTGAGTCATTTACTTCAATTCACTGAAAATAAAAGATAGTAACTTCATGTTGACAATCTTTTATAAGTCTGTGATAATCTATCAAACTGATAGCAACATACAAATAATGTAATAACTTATACCAAAGACTTGTAAAATGTATGGATTCTATTGAATACCAATGAAATATACAAATTGGGAAAATGCACAAAAATTCAGTTCTAAAACAAATCACTGAGCTTGCAGATAGAGAATATACCATGGGTTCGACTTCCCCGTACGTTCCGTGCTCCTGTTTGAGTTGGGGTCAAACGGTTCGGGTCAAAAGTCGGGTCAAAGGTCAACTAGTCAATGGTTGCACCTATATAAGGGTACCTAGCCTTTTGGAAAGGGGTTCCTTCCCCTCTTCTCCTCCACTCTCCCTCACTTTCTCTCTAGACTTAGATTCTCTCTCAATTCTCTCTATAAAATGCAAGAACAACAATGAATAAAAGGTCTCTTTGAGCTATATTGCCATCCTCTCTCTACATTTTGATATACTTTGGTACAATTCTATACAGACACGGTACATGCAATATATATCAAGTAGTACATGTATCACTTGCAATATATGGTTCTAAAATCTAAAAATATAATAAGTCTCAATCTAGGTTATACCCCTGGTTTATGTCCGTTTGTTCTGTTAATTTTATTTTTTTTTTGTACATTATGCTATCAAAATTGCACTACACATTTTTTTGGACAAAAATACTGTTATAACTTATGTTATCTTTTCACATTATTATTACCATGCACATGATTAAAACGGTACATATATTATGAATTATCTCTCCCGTACAGTACCGAAGGGGCAATATATGTACCATTTTGAAAATTGAGGGGCAACATTTACACCACTAATAATTTAGGTGTGACATTGATAATTGGCATATTATGGATGTAGATAAATTTCAATTTTCCCCAAAAGGAAAAAAAAAAAAAAAGTAAACTGTCCAACAAATTTGCTAGCCACATGAACAACTCAATCCAATAAACAATGCTTTTTTGGGATGACACATCATCTTGTAAATGGTGACTTTGCTGGGATAATCTCAGCCTTATGGTGTGAGAGTGACAACTGAACTCATCTATTCAATATCTGAAAACGGGAATAAATAGGGAACAAAGCACATAAGCAGGAAACTAGTTACAGAAAAACCTGAAGACTAGGCAAAAGACTAACAACCACTAACTAAGTCTCAACACGCCCCGCAAGATGGAGGAACCATTGGTGAGACCAATCTTGGTTCTGAACTTAGTAAACAGCTGATTGCCAAGCGACTTAGTCAAAAGATCCGCAACCTGGTCAAAGGACTTCACGTAGCACACTCGCAGTGAGCCAGAAGTAACCTATTCCCGGACAAAAAAATAATCAAGAGCTAAATGCTTCATTTGCGAGTGAAAGACCGGGTTCTTACACATGTAAGAAACACTCAAATTGTCAGTAACCAAAACTGGAGAAGACGGTAATCGTACCCCAAGCTCAAGTAGCAAATTTTGAACCCACATAACTTAAGCAGCGGAATTAGCAAGAGCCCGAAACTCAGCCTCCATAGAGGACCGAGACACAGAGTGTTGCTTATCAGCTTCCAAGACACAACATTTGGACCAAAATAGACAACATAGGCCGTAGTTGAGCGATCCCCATCATGAGTGCCACCTTAGTCTGAGTCCGAATAGGTCACCAAGGAAAGGGACCGACCCCTGCGAAAATGCAGTCCATGATATAATGTACCCTTTATGTAACGAAGCACCCGTTTCACCGATTGCCAATGAAGCTCAGTGGGTGAGGACATAAATTGAGCCAATCGGTTGACTGCAAACGAAATCTCTGGTCTGGTAATAGCCAAGTACTGCAACCTGCCAATGGCTTGTCGAAACATGGTGGCATCAAAAGCTGGTGAAGTAGCGCACAAATCCACAGAAGTACTCATTGGTGTTGACACCTCTTTCGCCCCCGTCATACCAAAATGTTCCAAAACGTTAACCACATACTGAGACTGCGATAAAAACAGACCACTGGTGGTAGGAACTACTTCAACACCTAAAAAGTGATGAAGCGGGCCCAAATCTTTAAGCGCGAATCGACGCGCAAAGCGACCCACAAACGCACTAATGAACGCATCATTGTTGCTTGTCAGAATAATATCTTCTACGTACACTAAGAAGTACACAATTACAACATACGAGCAGTAGATAAAAAGAGAAGAATCAGCTACGGATTTCTTGAACCCAGACAGAATAAGGAACTTAGACAGCTCCAAGTACCAAGCCCGCGGGGTTTGTTTTAAACCATAAATCGCCTTCCAGAGCTTGTAAACATAACCAGGAACCTGTTGATCAACAAAACCAACCGGCTGGTCCATATATACTTCCTCGAACAAAGTGTTATTCAAAAAGGCGTTGTTCATGTCCAACTGTCGGAGCAACCACCCCTGCGACAAAGAAATGGTGAGAAATAACGCGAATGGTCGCCGGTTTCACCACATGACTAAACGTCTCGAAGTAGTCACGACCAGGCTCCTGCAAAAATCCTTTCGCCACCAACCGGGCCTTGAACCTGTCCACCGAGCCATCCGACTTGCGTTTCACCCAGAAGACCCATTTGCAACCAATCACATCACGACTAGGCCGCGGCACTAAATCCCACGTTTCGTTCTTTACCAATGCATCAAACTCGGCAGTCATGACAGCCTTCCATAGCTCATTCTTTAACGCTTGAGACACTGTTCGTGGCTCAACAAATGAGGCGATAGGATGAACCGTGGCCAGATTCACAAATTTATCAGTGAAGTATCTGGGATTCGGCCATCGCTGTCGTTGAGGCCGGGACACAGCAAGAGGCTGAGAGGCTGGGACTCGGGCGTTATCCTCCGAGGTCGCCGACACAGATCGCATAGGATTTACAGCGGAGACACCGGGTACTGACGCAGTAGTTAAAGAAGCTAAAGCTGAAGCTGCTGCTGATTCTGAGGTCGCCGCTGCAGGCTCCAAGGTGGCGGCCGGTGGTTCTGAAGCGGCAGTTGCAGGCTCCAAGGTTGCAACCGCTAGTTCTGAAGTGGCAGCTTCCGAAGCGACAACTGCAACCTCTAAGGTTGCAGCTGCTGTTTCTGATGTAGCAGCTGCAGGTGTACCTGAAAGAGGATGCACGGTGGAGGACGTGGAGTCTCCAGGTGAGTGACACTGATTTGGCACGGGAGCAAGTGAGTTGGCAGTGGACGAAGTATTTTCTACACTGGAGGGAGACACTACAGGCAATGGAGATGCAACACTGAGTGGTCCTAAGATAGGAGACAAAACCGGCAGTGCTGACAAACTTTTATTGTGTGTGGAAATACCTTGCGACACTTGACTAAGTTTATGGAACGGAAATTCATCAGGCACAAACGAGACATGGCGCGAGAGACATATACGACCAGTAGCTGGGTCAAGGCATTTGTAGGCCGATTGACTCAAAGAGTAACCCAGAAAGACACACGAGATAGATTTGGGGTTTAACTTACCTGGAAAATATGGTTTTAGCCATGGAAAGCATAGACATACGAAGGGTTGAATTTTGTTGTAATTTGGCTCTTTGTTGAACAGTGTTTTATATGGTGAGGAGTTGTGTAGTATAGGAGTTGGCATACGGTTGATTAAATACACCGCCGTTTGAAAAGCGTATGACCAATACGAGGATGGCATGGACGCAAAGTGCAACACGCCATACCACTTTCTACAACATGTCTAAAGTGTGAAATGCCCTGACTATTAAATGTTGGAATTAACTTTGTGTATTTCCCGCCATTTTCTGAAAAAACAGAGATTATTCTGTACCTAAAATAATTTTCGACCATGACTTTAAATTGAATAAACACTCTATGAATGTCAGACTTAAGTTTCAAGGGAAATAACCAGACATACTTTTTGTAGTGGTCTATAAAATTAATGTAATACTTGAAACCATCTGCAGAGATTGTTGACGAACACCAAACATCGGTATAAATAAGTTCCAATGGTTTAGTACTAGACATTGAGTTAAACGAAAACGGCAATTTGTGGCTTTTATTTACATGACAAGAAGTACACGAAAATGTTTCAAGCGCATGCCGATCAAAAGGAACGTTATTACTTCTGAGAATGGATGACAAAACCCTGTGGTTGGGATGACTATATTGATGATGCCACTTAGGAACTGAGGATGTGACATTGACTTGACACTTCTGAGCAGGAATGCTGTAGACGTCATTCACGACCGGACCTCGCACTAGAGGTTTGCATGACGCCTGATCCTTAACAAAAAAATAAGAGTAAAAAAATTCAACCGACACCGAGTTAGTCTAACATAGTTTAGAAATAGACACTAAGTTTTTTTTTGTAAACTGGGAACGCATAAGGCATTTGAGAGAAGAAGAGGACGACTTGCAGATGGAAGAGAAACAGACCCTGTATGTGAGATACCCATGGACTTACCATCGCCCAGAACAATTTTGTCCGGACCTGTGTAGTCAGAAAATATTTGTAAAGACATAGGATCAATAATAGTATGGTGCTTGGCTCCAGAGTCCATCAGCCATGACTTGGATGCCGCAGGACTAGTAGCAGTAGTGTGCACCGTAGGGGATTGGTAGCCATTGTTTTGAGGGTCAACAACTACCACATTGTTTTCTTTCAAAAATTTAGCTAGTTTGCAGCAGTATTTCGCGTCATGTCCGGGGTAATCACAGTAATTGCAGTGCCGAGACGGACGGTTACCAGTATGCCATGTTTGATTGTGCTTTCCATTAGGCATATTCGCTCCACCTCTACCTCGACGATTATTGGAATGAAAATTAGAGCCAGTTGTACCGTTGAATCGTCGTTGCGTTGCATTGGTCATGGACATGTGAACCTGAGAGGCGGCGTCATTCTCTTTTAGCAGCCGCTCGTAGTCTGTGAGAACATCATGTAATTCTCCAAACGAAATTGTAACACCCCACTTTTCTATCTCTTAATCACAAATCTAATCTAACATTAACATAAACTAAGCAGCAGAATTAAACTAAAAAGATAACTAGTGGGAATGTCACCGCCACAACCACCACTCCGTGGTGATTGCACAAGCTAAGGGGTAGAACTAGAAATAAAATAAATATCTGACATCCATATTAAATACTGAAAAACATAAGGAGGAAAAAGTCACCCTAAAAGTCTACATCCTCAAAGTCTACAAATCAACATAAGTCTAGAATCTGGATAACAAAGTCATCAACATAAACAAAGAGTTTAGACATCTCAAACTACAAGACTAATCTAACTCGATCACTTCTCACTGCCGGGCCCACCTGAAAGGGGTTTTGCAAGCAACACATAGACAAATAGGAAAACACCCGTTAGCACGAAGCTAAGTATAACCGCACTCAACCATGTAAAGCATTATAGCATATACTTGAAAACATTTGATTTCTCTTGTAAACAACAAACTCATCTCAAATCATCTTTAGGGCTACCACAAACTTTCTAGATGCTCGCAACCTATAATATCAACTGACATGCTTATATATATAAGACTGAACAACTTAGATACTTCAACATATAAACTTCTCAATTAACCTAACAAGCAACTCATGCATACAGGTAGGATCATGCTATAAAACCGAACAACAGGTATTCTCATGCTCTCAAATTCTCATCACATAACTTGATATACAAGGCTTCAAATGTAACTAAACAATCATGTTCGATGAACAATCTTAAATCAACATTCTCATTATGTAATCTCATGCGATACTCTACTCAAATGCAATCTCGTGCAATACTATACTCGTATGCAATCATGTGCAATACTATACTCATATGCAATCATGTGCAATACTATACTCATATGCAATCTCGTGCAATACTATACTCATGTGCAATCATGTGCAATTCTATATTCATATACAATCATGTGCAATACTATACTCATATGCAATCTCGTGCAATACTATACTCGTGTGCAATCATGTGCAATACTATACATATACTCATACACTCTTTGTAAAAATAGGGTACTTTCTGTGGAGGTCTCTTTCTTACTTTCTTACTTTTGAGTCTTTATTGACTCGCTTTCTTTCTCTTGAGTCTCTCTTGACTCACTTTCTTTCTCTTGAGTCTCTCTTGACTCACTTTCTTTCTTTTACTCGTAGACGGCTTAGGGTTTCACCGAAGCATGAATTACCCCATCGGGAGTGGCATAAATTCGACCGAATATCTCCTACCGTCTACGGAACCAATCTCGTGGTTCTCTCTCTGTGGAATCAGGTATCGAACTATTAGTGTGCACACCCCCTGACCAGGATTCCAAGCCTAGCGGGCAGTTTCCAACCTCGTAACGTGGGAATACACCGCGTTACATATACTGGGACCGCAATGTCCATAAATATCTTTCGAGAGGACATAGTCCAAACGGTATCCTCCAAAACCTCACCAATATAGATAATACATAAATATATCTCTCATGCATCAATCTCATGCATGCAACAACTCTACTATTTCTCAATGCATCAAAGAATGATATATCACATGCTTATGGCTTTTTGAAAATAATACTTGGGCTCACGTTGGCCCCTTATGCATTTTTGAAATATGACATATGTGAGATGCTAAATACTTTAAAAAATGCTTCTAAACCATGTAAATAAACCATAAAATACTCAAGAATATAATATCATGCTCGGTTTGTAACATAGCAAATTCTATACATTTCTATCAACAAAATATGCTTCATTTCTCATTGATCAAATATCATAAATTAGTCATGCTTGCATAATAAATCATATTCTCAAAGGATCATGCTTCTCTACTCAATAAAATAACATCAGGTTACAAAGCCAAGCATTTCTCATACACAGAGAACTAAGCAAATATGCACTGTGTAGCAATTCTTCAATAAATCCTTCATATCATACTCATTTTTTAATCCAAATTCAACAAAATCAAAGCCAAAACGTGCGTCAAGACGATCCCGAAGTGCCGAGCCACAAGGGCCCGTAATACCTGGCCTGAATCGACACGTAGCTGAGCCACAAGGGCCCGACCACTGCACAAATTCTTCTCAGATCAATACTTAGGGACCTGGGGCGGGACTCCTCATGAGCCGCCCCATGAAACCCGTTACCTCGCCGGGCCTAGGCAACGGCCCTCTCCTACGGCCGTGCCCTAGGCTCGTGCAACCCTGGCTCTAGCCGGCGGCCCTCCTGATGGGCCGTGGCTAGGGCCGCTGGTCTGATCTGGTGCACACTGTGTGTGCACCAGATGACATTATCTTCTGCAAAAACAATCCAAACAAGTCCAAAACATTCTCAATAACTCAAAGGCAAATACTAGATCACTTCTAAGCATAAGCACAATAAAATCTCATAATTTCTACTCATTTCTACTCAATAACAAGGCTTCACAGAGCCAAAACAAAGAAGGAATCCATGGGGTTATACCTCTTGTAGTTTCTTCTTCTAGCTTGGATCTCTTCTTCCTCCCAATCTAGCTAGTACCTCCTTCACCACCTAAACTTCCCAAACAAAACATACAACCTTAGCCTAAAACCTCAGAGGATGGATGAAGCTAGAAGAGAAAATGAAAGCTAGGATTGAAAGGAGAAAAATATGAACTTACTGTGTTGTTTCTCCCATTATACTTGGCAGACAAATGTTTGGAGAGGCAAAGAAAGAGATCAGAAAATCAACAATGGAATAGTGAAGTTTATATAGGGTCCAAAACCCTAGGTAGAAAGCAAATGATTGGATGAGGGCAAAATGGTAAAAGCTTAGCTAGATGATGTTCTCAGGCAAAAGCCATCTTGGAGTAATGTGGTTCACCTTGTATCATGAACCAAAGGGCTAGAAATGCTAACTTTAAATACTTTGGGGTTGAAAATGAATTTTCTCAAAAAGCTAATTAGATGAACCCTTGTTTAAAGTCTTTTTGAATTCTCCCGGTCTCACTCAGATAAATTTCTCGATTTAAAACTTGGTACGCGAAGTACCCAAAAATTTAGGAATTTCGAATAAAATAAGTTTTGGTGTCGAATTAACTTGAAATGTGACAAAAATAATTTATTCAAACACCAATTGATCGCAAAAATTTTTAATGGAGTGAAAATGACTATTTTTGAAATTTCTTAATATCGGATTTATAAAATAAAATTTTGGGTTGTTACAGAAATAGCCTAAGTCCACACACGGAGCGCTACCACAACTGAATTATATTCATCACCAAGCTGGGTGAATATATGCACAACCAGGTCCTCGTCATCCACCGGACTTCGAGCAAGAGCTAGATCGTCCGAAATGGTTCACATCTCCCGCATGTAGGAGTCAATGGGCCTATTTCCTTTGGGGTTCTTTGCTAGCTTCGCTTTGAGCGAGACGATGTGTCCCCCGGGAAGAAGCCGCACACGTAGTGGATAATCGGGTCCATGTTTCACGCGCAGATGAAGCCAATGAAATGACCGGTTGTAGGGTTTCTGTCAAGCTGCCTAAGATTGCACTCAGGATAATATGGCCCTGTCTATACCATGCCGTATAGGCCGGGTTGGGTGTCGTTCATGTTTGATCGGAGTATTTGGCCGGTGTAGATGCCGTTCCATTCACGTAGCCTACAAGGTCCAGGCCTGTGAGTGTAGACTCCACTTGTTTTTTTCCAAATGGAAAAATTAGAGGTTGTGAGTATGATGGGTAGGTGAGATGGGGCAAAGATTTGGATAATAGTTGGTGGAGTTGTGGCAGCCATAATGGAATGAGTAGAGGAAGGAAGGTAGAAAAGGGAAAAATAAAAAAAAATCTCGCTAGAGTATAGGCTCTGATACCATGTGAGAGTAACAACTGAACTCATCTATTCAATATCTGACAACGGGAATAAATAGGGAACAAAGCATAGAAGCAGGAAACTAGTTACAGAAAAACTTGAAGACTAGGCAAAAGACTAACAACCACTAACTAAGTCTCAACATATGGATGGTACTGTTAGATTGTTTATTCCTTGATTTCGACCATACATTATAGTGTTGCCTTAACTAAACTCCCATGTTATTTTTATCTGTTTGTGCAACATGGAATTGCTAACTGTTAATCTTTATGGGCTTCCTCTCTTGTTATATCCAAAGTGGTATTTGCTATGTCTCAAATCTAAGCATTCTTTTCGCAGTTAAGCTTGTGACATCAAATCCAAAAATGGGACAATTACCCTTTTATGTCACAAACAAAACATTCAAGTTCACAAATGAGAATAATTTTCTCTTGACAAACCATGAATGTCACATTACACGTATTATACCAAAATGCCCAAAAATGACATGTTTTACAAGTGATATAAAAGCAGCAATTATATCATGGACCATGGTCCAAACACTATTGAAAATTATTTTTTTTTTCTAAATTATTGACCACCTTATTGGATGGTCAGAATGTGGACAGTATTACCGATTATTCTCAAATTGTGGTAAAAAATGCAGAGCAGTAGAAAGATGGTCAGAAATGTTATGACCGCTATTTTTTTAATTAGTCAGCTTTGAAGAGTTTTTTGGTGGTCCGAAGTCAGATTATTTGTATACTCCGTACATTCTTTACACATCTTACATCAAACATAAATTAATTAAATAATAATAATAATAATAATAATAATAATAATAATAATTTTTAATATATAAGACATGTTGTTGGCTAGATACTGAAGGTGTAATTAATGTTGACATTCTGAGAGTGAGCACTTTGCGCTAAATCCCTTTTTCCCAACCTGGCCTCAAGCTAAAGCTACGAAATCATCGCCATCCTCAACTGAGTCGCACCTCAGATCAACCAAGTCATTTCAAGCTAAAGTTACGGAGTCGCATCGTCATCCACATCCTCAACCAAAAGGTACTTGCATTTTAATGCTATATATTAAGTCTACTAAATTTAGTCTCTGTTTAGGGTTTAAGGCTTAGAAATCTTATTTCAACTGCATTTTTTTTTTTTTTTTTTTTTCCTGTTTTTTAGCTTTGACATTTCTGAGTAGATATAGATGGATTTGAAGGTTTAGATATTAAGAAATATATAATACTCCCTCTGATTTCAGCTGCATTTTGTTGTTTTTCTATTTTTTTGCGAGTACATATTGAAGGACTTGATATAGATCCTAGTGTATAATATTCTGAGTTAATGTCTCTATTCAAGCAACTGGTTAAACAAACAGACTGGTATATGGGATACTAGCCAAAGTACTATTCAAGTGAATGAGGACATCACTTGAAACTGTTAGTTTCACAATTTTAACTGGTTAAGCCAGCGGTCTAGTATTTAAAAAGGCTAAGAGAGATATATAAAAAAGAGTCTAGATTCATAATTTTCATAGGCTAAGGAAGAAGAGAAATCTAAATTTCATATAGAAGTTTTTCCTCAAAACCATAAATGTGGTGTTTAAAAAGATTACCATGTTAAATGGTTTAAGCATGTTTGTATTATTCAGCAGTGGTGGGCTAAATTTTCTCAAGTCAGGGCACTGATCATGCTGACTGTCTGGTTTAAGATTACAGGTCATTGTTTATTTGAACAATGACTTTGCCTGAAAATGCAAGAAGGCAGCAGGAACATGGCTGTAATACCTTGTTAAACAACAACAATAATAAGTTGGATTTAGTTGGAATGTTTGAAAGGTGGCAAGGAGCAACCATCCACTGTTAAGGGAAAAGGTATATTTGCTATTATGCTAATCAAGAGACTAAGTGAAGAACAGACAGATAATAAAAAATCAGTTTAAGACCACTGTTAATGTAAGATTGTCTTTCATAACAAATATACATGACTATTTTCAAAGAACAGTGTGCTCTTGTTTATATATGTTTATATGTTTTATTATACAAGACAACCCTATATTGTATAGAAAGCTACAAACATATAGAAGAATTCTAGAAATAGACACATAAAGGAAACTACTTTATCATTTTACTATAGGATTAATGCCTGTACATATATGCCATGTTAATTAATTCGTTATGCACACACCGCTATTACGATCTGGGTAAAGCATTTGTTCCATCTCGAAGAGCGTAATCAGTCATTTACGCACGAACATATTGATAATCACGCGTTTTTTTAAATTTTATTTTATTTTAATTCTCTTGGCTGAAATGATCATTTCAAGCTCGGAATGGTTAATGGTACTCTACATTTTGTGTTTGATTAGGTTTGATTGTACTATCGTCGATTGTTAAGTATTATATTGTACTGTTGGTCTCTCTAGGTTTTTGGTTATTGCTGATCATTACATTGCACTGTTGATCTCTCGAAGTTTTGGTTGCCTATAAGTTTGTTGAACTGGTTTGTGTGTTTTTGATGATATGGTACGCTGTAAAAGTTCAGTTTTGCTTGCTTTTTGTTGTTGATTTGATTATGTTGTTAGATGTTAAATTTATGGTAATAATTTTTGTTTATGGAGTTTGTTCATGGAAATGATTCATGTCAGTGCCCTTATGCTTGTTTTGGAATATGTAATCCCGTGAAATGTTTAACCCTATCTTATGTAGTTACAAGGTCTGCATTTTACATCGAGTTTGCTAGCAAACCTTCTGCATCACTATGGATTCCATTTGCAATTGTTGTAAAAAATTTCTTTTATCCACAATTGTAAGGAAACTTATTGCCTGCCAATTTGTGTTGACCAATGGTGTTTTAGTTTCTACCTGGATTAGTGGACTTTTATACTTTATTACCTTTCAATTCCCTCTCCTCTTAGAATCTTGTGCAGGACTGATAATCAAGAAAGAATTTCCTGCTTTGCCTTTCCATTTGTAGTTTGTAGAGAGTTGACAATAGTTTGCCTTTATTGTCAGGAGTGCATATTGGTTGGAATCTAGACCTCAAGACTTGAGGTTGCATCTAGTACAAAACATATGAGAAGAAGAAATAAGATATCTAAGGTATTATTGTCTCTTAGTTATTTGTTGATTACAGAGTATTTATTATGCTATAAATATCTTTCATGGATAGAGGGATAATGTTGTTTAAGTCATTGTGCATATTTAACCTTGTTACTAATGAACAGAGTTGACAGTTAATTAATAGTACTCTTTTTATCATTTTTAACATTTGGGTAGGGGAGATCTTCAGCCTAAAGACATGATGCCCTATGCATGCATATGAGAGAGGGAATACCCAGGAAAACTATCCGATTAATTCTCTTCTTAATTATAGATAAACAGAACAATAAGTCTTGAGAAGCTTTATATTACAAAGCAGTTCATAATCATCATTTTTCATCATAATAAACTTCAGAAAAGAAAAAAGAAGAGAGAGAGAGAGAGAGAGGGAGAGAATGTTAAAAGAGAGCATACTTGTAATGTGGAGCATCTCTATCAAAACAAGCAAGGGTTATTATTTTTTAAACACAATAGAATTTTAGTTTTAAGCCTAAATTTTCTGCATTATGTTAAGCAATCAATCTTATAGGAAAAATACTGCCATGCTATCTTGGCAGCATGAAAAAGCAGTATTGGGGGCAGCCATTACTATACTTAATAATACTGAAGTTGTTTGAAATTTATTTTGGCAGAATGGAAAAGCAGCACAAAAGATATCTAAGGCAAGCTGAATTTGATATTTTCAACAATATTTTTATCATAGAAAACTAAAACATTGAGATCTTCTATGCAGGGAAGAAAATCTGAAGCTCGAGATTTGGAACATCAAGATTTTGAGGTATGTTTGTTTTGACATTTTTGTGGCATCAAGACTTTAAACCTCGCTCTTCCTCTCGCCTCTCTGTCTCCCATAAAGATTTCAACCCTAAAAGCCTTTAACAATTACCTCTCTGACTCACTTTCCTTGCGACTTTCGGAGTAGTCAACGAGGATGCTGATGAGGATTCCCTTTCCTTGCGACTTTTCGAGCAGCAGACGAGGACGGCGATGACTACTTCTCTCCCTTGAGACTCTGGGAGTAGCCAACGAGGACTCCTCTCCCCTGTGACAGCCAACGAGGTTTCACTTCCAGAATTCTAGGTAGGTGTTTCTTAGCATCCGTAATTTATCATATGGAAGATAAAAAATTCTTGTTCTTGATTTTCCTACCCTCGATTTTAAGAAGATTTCTTCTCTGTTTAAGATGATTTCCAATTTGCTATTTTGAGTTGTTCATTAGATTTGATTTTGAGAAATTAAAGCTTTGAGCTGAGAAATTTGTTTATTGATTTTTGCAGAATCTAACTGTTTGGTTTGGATTTGTTTTCATATATTAGGCTTACTGCTTTGAAGCATAATTGATTCCTTTATTTGGCCGGTTAAATATTTTAAGTTGATTTATAATCGTGCCTTTCTAGTTTGTTACTATAGTTTAAAAAGTAAATGGCCACATAATTTTGATTACTATTATGCTATGCTGGGAGGACAGAAGTTTTCTGGATCCCTACCTTTGGATGCTTTACATGCCACCCTTGATGGATATTCATTCAATTACTATTAGCTATGTTGTTTATTTATTCAATTGCTGAATATCTGTGCTTGCATTGTAAGAGCCTAGTATGTAGTGAAGTTTACTTCATGAAACAAACTGTGGGAAATACATGTGGGACGATCACATTTCATCATGCTACAGCTATAATATCACTGCAGAGGTACTTCATGGTGTCAGAACATATTATTGTATTGATTATATCAATTGGTAATCTTTCTAATGCAACAATATGACTCTTTTGCTTAGTTAGAGCCTAGAGGTACTTATCTCCTGTACACGGAATCTGCAAAGTCCTTACAGCACAACTGTGTATGTCACTCTTTAATTAAAACCTTTACAGATTCCGTGTACAGGAGATAAGTAGCAGAGGGACTTATTACACGACACGAATTACTTCTCTTGAGTTACTAAAGCTGGTAAAGCTTCTGCTATTTCCTTATGTATACGTAGGTGATGGCTATTTCTGTGGCTACAGCAGCAATTAGGTTTGAAATTTGATGCATGCTATCCTAAGTTATCAGTTCTTAAACATGCAACATTGTTTGCAGGTTCAGTAAATCACTAGATCAGTTAGATTTTACTGGTTTTCAATGGACTAGTCCAAGATGTGAAATATTAGGTTCAACTAGTTCAAGGACATAGAAGAATTATTGATGTAGATCAATTAAATCTGGTGGGGTATTACTTACTTTTAAGGTAGTATAAACAATTATATCTTCAGTGTTCAATGAGAAGACATGGATTGTTTTACTGGCCAAGTTGTCACCTATTCACTAGTGGAAGTTCTAGGATATCTTAAAATAGATTACATGAGCTAAATGTATATATCTTCTTTAATCTTAAATTTCCGTTGCACAATTATAATTATATTATGTAACCGTAAATTGAAGTTTGCTTTGCTTTTTGTGTGTGTAAGAACAGATTATGAACTCTTAATAATAGAAGGGAGGGTACAGATTGCACTAACACAATTATTTTCTTCATTTTACACCTGTGGGTAGATGGGGAAGGTAAGGTCAATTAATTGTTGATAGATGGTAACCGGTTGTTAACCGATTTATATTCTTGTAATGATAACCCAAATTTGTCAATAGGAAAAATGACACTTTTTCCCCTGAGTTATATACTTATAACACTTTTCCCCCCTGAATTATTTATGTAAGCACATTAGTCCCTTCAATTATTTTAAAAATGGCGATTTTCCTCCCTGATATATTAAATTGACATTGCTACCCTTAGAATAAACATTTTATTTATTTGTCTTTCCAACAAATTATTGTGTATACGTAGGGATGACCACGGTTCGATTCGAATTGAACCGGACATTATAGCATTCAAATTAAAAGTTTTCGGTTATGATTCAGATCCAGAACCCAATATTTGAATTTCGGTTTATTAAAATTATGAATCGAAAAGAAACTGGATCTTGAATCGTGAATCGGCGGTTCCGGATCCGGTTCACAATTTTGAACCGTCTTTATTTTAAAATTTTATTTTTTATTTTAAAATAGTGTAAATTCAACAATAAATGTATTTTATTTTTTTCAGTTCAGAACATGAATCGACCGTCCCGATTAGCGATTTTAATAAACTCTAGATATCGGGTTTTGATTCTAAATTGTAATTAGAATATTTCAGTTTGGTTGTTGTAGTGTCTATTTGGTTAAATCGTGGTCATAATTTGTTGGAGAAGAAAAATAAATGAAATAGTTATTTTAAGGGTAAATATGTCCATTTAACGTTTCATGGGGAAAAATAACCACTTAAATAATTCAGGGGGGAAAAGTGCTATAAGTATATAACTCAGAGGGAAAAAGTGTCATTTTCCCTTGTCAATATATACAGCACCTCAAAAATCTCATTAATAGATTTTTTTTTTTTTTTTCTGATTTCTACTTGAATATATAATCTATACCAATTAACTAAAAAGGAAAAGAAAATGAAAACAAATCACTGTCAAAATTAAAAATCACTCAATACACTAAAAAGTATAAATCGAAATAAGAATACATATAATCTTAGAATGACATTGGAAAATTATTGCGCGGACCATAACAAAACATACATTTTTAATATATTAAAAGTACATTATTCGTGTACTGAATATATATTGTACAGAATAATGTACTTTAGATACTCAAATAATATATTTTTTCTGAATTAAATATACATTTTTAATATGTTAAAAGTACATTATTTGATAATATGATTCACACAAAAGTGAAAAGCCTCCTTGTGCATAGTAAGCAAATGTTTAGTCTCTGTGTTCAGCTGAGTTACCATGATTTACATATTTTTAGATGCTCTATCAAGTAAGAGCGTGAGAAGTCCTTGGAATTGGGGATTCAACTTTTAAAAACAATGATTGAATCACATAATTAAGTTTGACCGACAAGAACTGCAGAATAATTGTTGGATAACTAGTACAGTTGCTCCACCCATAATAATATACGCGATTATTTTAATTGTAAATTATTAGTAATACTTTTTAAATATTACTCTATGACTTGCATTATTATTTAAATATTAATATATTACTATGTCAATACGGACTCAACGACTTGCAAAATTAAAGTACTTGTCAATTAATAGTTAAAGTAGTATAGGTCTAAATACATTTAATTTTCTCGAAATTGTTTAGTTCTATTGAATAGTCGTATATAGACATTATATTATTAGGCTGAATAATTCTTAATGGCTATTATTACATGAAGCCTATAAAAACATGATATAGATGACAAGGTGAATTTGATCTTTTTGCATTCAGGTCAAATTTAATGAGTTATTGTTGAATGAGTTTGTGAACAAAGAAAATTGAATATATATTTTAAAATTCAAAATTCTAGTTTGAGTTAAATCCATTTTTGGTCCTATATTTATTGCGCATTAGACACATTTTGCCCGCTTTTATTAATTTTGCCACATTTTATCCAGACTTTTTAAAATGTGGACACTTTTAGTCCACCGTTACATTTGACGTTACACAACCGTGAAATACGAGAGCAATTATGTCCTTTTACGTACATTTTGTTATCAGCCTTCAATCTCCACGTCAAAGTCTAAGAAACAATAAGACCAACCACAAAACCCTCAACAGTTGGGCAATCGGACGGCTTTGGAGGATGATCGTTCTGTTCTGGTTTTGACTGGTGTAGATCGTGCTGGGGTCGAGGGGCGAACGACTTTTGATGATCCGATTGATGTTCGACAGCCGCCTGAGAGTTCTCGCGTGTCAGCCTAGAATACGTTGGTTGAGGTGTTGCCGGCAAATCGGCCTTTGCATGGGCGATCGACTGGCATGGATGGTGTTGGGGAGGTGTCGAGAACCTTCGTCCTTGGTTAGAATGATGATCGGAGGTCTCCGGAATTTTCGGAGTTGTTGCGCCACCGGCGATATCTGGAAATCGGAGGAAGCAGGCGGAGGAATCGGGGGGTGGCGGTGGTCTCGGTGTGGCTGAGGCTACCTGCTCGTCTGGGTTTTACTTCGATTCAACAGCCCCCTTGCGATGCCATGGCTCCGGCCACCGAGATCGCTGTCGTCGCACCTGGTACCCTTCCTTCGTCGTCGCAGAGTGTGGCTAGGTCTTCGTCCTTACCGGTGGTCGTCCAGAGTTCGCAACTCACCGCACCTTTGGGTGGCTCTGTTCGTCCAGATGAGGCTCGTGGCAAGAACCGAAAGAGACACAGGTCTAAGGTGTTTAACACCTGGGTGCATGTAGCTTCTGGTCAGGGTGCTGTGAGGTCCATTGTTGCAAATCCAAGAGCTACGACTCAAGAACTTACTATGCCTCATTACTTTAATCCAAATTGCATGCTCAAGAATCATAGCATTTTTTCCATCAGGATCATATTCATATAGTCCTACAATTTAACCAAAACGTGTATACCATGAGTTTAATGTAAATCAGAAAAACCAAAAGTCAATAATGGATAGAAAAGCGTTAGGTTAGGGATCAGAATTGCCTGCAGAGTTGTTGCCGAAGAGAGCTTTGCAGTGTTGTATGGATGATTTGAGAGGCGGCCATAAGCCCAAAGCTACTTTCAGCTCTTTCCACCACATGTTTGTGAAACGACGTTTGAATCTTCTTCCCAATTCTATATTCTCTTCTTCGAAATACAGATACATGACTTTTCTTGATCCAGGTCTACGGGGCAGCGGCGCTTATTTTGAGTAACTGAGATGATGGTGGGGCGAATAGTTTTCTTGGGGAACGAAACTAGTAAACGGTAAAAGTGAATAGAAGTGGATTACAAAATGTACGTGAAAGGACATAATTGCCCTCCTACTTAACGGTTGTTTAACAACAAATGTAACGGTGGACCAATAGTGTCCACCTTTTAAAATGTCAGGGAAAAATGTGGTAAGATTAATAAAAGCGGACAGAATGTGTCTAATGCCCAATAAATGTAGGACCAAAAATGGATTTAACTCTTCTAGTTTACATCAGTATAAATCAATGCGGTGTGGGTAAAAGATCTCTGTGTTGTCCTCTGATTCTTCAATTTGATGCCTTGAACACTCCACCATTGAAGGGCCTTCGGGTTTCAA